TGTATACCAAATTTCATTCATTTATCACAACGCGATTGAGAGATATTGCAAAAAAATGATTTCCATTCCTCCCTCTTCAATGGGTCCCTGTGCCCTTAGGAAGCATTTCCGGACCCATGTTCATATGAACTTTTTTACTTAGTTTTGATCATAGAATCGGCCTGTTCAGGGTTGGCAACTAATTATGAGACACCCTGTACACAGATTCGGATATTGGTGCGTTTGTAACTTTTAGTGTTTGAATAAATTTAATATTTAGTAGTTTGATGAAAATGCAGCAGATTCTGAAGTGTCAGATTTTTAAAAAGAATATGGGCTCGATGTTAACAAATCTTACAACCTCAGATGTCAAACTGAATTCCGAAAATAGTTCAACTTTCTTTTGCCAATACTCTAGAGAGTGGTAAAAATAAATAACTGCCTAGAGCTACGACTTACACAATAATACTGTACTGTACTGCATAAATTAGTGTATTGATGCCCTAAGTCTAAGTTTACAATATGAACAAGATATCTCGAAAATCTTTTAAGATATCGCAAACAACATACATAATATCTATCATTTTTCAGTTCGAGTCAATCAAAATTTAACCACAAATAGAACTCAATAAATAATTCAGAATTGCCTTATAAAGCAAGGGTCTAAGTCTCACTGTACAGGGCCGTATTGGTTGGTTTTTAAAATCATATAATTTATAAAATCTTTGCTATGCTTATAACAAATCGACTCAAATTTGGTGTGGTGTTAACATTTGCACAATTGCATAATTTACTGTAAAATTTACAATATTTTTTTGTCAGTGGCGTAGGAATGGGTAGTAAAGCGGGTCTTTTTTATTCCAACTTGTACGCCAATTATCTAATAATCATTTGGGATTCATTTTTAGATTCCGTGGACAATTCTACATAAAAAGGTATACTTGTTGAAAATCGGTATAGGGTATGAAATGATAAGAAAATCTTGAATCCATTTTTTGATAAACACTAACTAATATTTCAAATCTTAAGAATAAAATGACAGTTCCTGATGACAGACAAGTCTATTATTGCCTAGTTGTTTATTCATAGCAATCGTTGTATACGGATACTGTAATGGACGCACAGCGCAGATGTAGGTGTAATTTTTTAAAGGAATTATATCTGTTTGAAACAAACGAACCGTTGAATGAGCAAGTATACCTATAATTGCTTTAAAATGACACAAATGATTTTAGAAAAGATGTCATTGAATATGCTGTCCACCGCACTGCAGCGCAACCAAAAATGAGCTCAGAGAAGGAATTCACCACATTACGAATGTAATATAACGAGCGTTCAAATAAAAACGTGGTCGAAGTTGTCTCTGACACATTGGACGTGGGGAGTAGCTTATAGCGACCAACTTAACCTCATTTCTCAACGAGCTGTATAGCAGCTGTCAGTTTCAATAACGTTAATGAGTATATAACTTTATTTTAAAGAATAATCGTGATAACAATAACAAACAATTAAAGGAGCTGCGGAAAGTGTCCCCCTCCTTGTTATAACAATAAATTAAAGCAGCTGCTGAAAGTGTCCCCCTCCTTGTTCCAAGCACTTTTCATACCTGTTCCTCAAAGAATTAAAGACATTTTCTAAGATGCTCGGGGTATTGTTAATTTCACGAATCTTGTCTATAAGTCGAGCCTGCAGATGGTTTAAATCAGGAATAGGCAGTTCAAAAATAGTGTTTTTAAGGTAAGGCCACAAAAAGAAATCACACGGCGTAATATCACATGACCTCGGTGGAAATTCATGTTCAGCATTGAGACTTATTAGTCGATTTTGGAAAACTTCCCTCAACATATTCATCGTCTCGCCTGCCGTATGTGCCCTTGCGCCATCTTGTTGGAAGTAAAAGTTTGTAATTTCGTTTTCTTCCAGCTGGTTAACAAAAGGAGCGATAATTTCTTCTCTATACCTTTGCGCAGTAAGAGTACCATTAAAAAAAATAGGTCCATAAATCCTCCTTCGATTGAGAGCACACCATACTCCAATTTTTTGAGCGTGTAGAGGGCCCTCGACAAAAAAGTTATCTGGTTTTTCAGAAGACCACATTCTCATATTCTGTGAGTTTACGTAACCACTTAAATGAAACCAGGCTTCATCAGAAAAAAAGGTGATATTATGAAGTTCACCGTAGTTGTTTAAAAACCATTCACAAAATACAGCCCGTCGCGGAAAATCAACTTCATGAAGTTCTTGCTGACAAGTTAAACGATAGGAAAACAAACGCAAATCTTTTTTTAACACTGTGTGGCAGGTACCGACTGATACTCCCACCATTTGTGATAAAACACGTACAGAAGTTCTTGGCGCATTTTCCATTATTTGTTGGACATTTTCTTTTAATTCTTCAGTCCGCTTTTTAGGTCGGCCGCTTCCTTCTTTTCTTGTTACACTGCCCGTTTCACGAAAAACATTAACACAACGCTGAACTGCACTTTGAAAAA